AAAAAAAAAAAAAGACAGACTTTTACCATGGCCACATGACCCTCGGGTATGACCTTGCTTTTCAACTTTCCACTTTTTTTCCCTTTTTTTGGTCCTGGGGTCTGAACCCAGGGGCCCTCGACCACTGAGCCCCGTCCCCAGCCCTATTCTGTGTTTTATTTAGAGACAGGGTCTCACTGAGCTGCTCAGGGCCTCGCTGTGGCTGAGGCTGGCTTTGAACCTAGGTCCTCCTGCCTCAGCCTCCCGAGCTGCTGGGAGGACAGGTGTGGGCAGCGTTTTGCTTTTTCAGTAGTTAAATAGACGTATTTCAAAAAGAACCTTCCCAAACAATCTCCATTATAAACAGAAGACCAATGTCACTTGCCTTAAATAGAAAATAACAGTAAAAATTAAACACAAAGAAAAGAAAACGACAGTTTCCATCCGCCGCTGCAGCAGCCGTGGCCTGAGTGGGGCTCGCTCTGTGCTACGCTGGAGATGAGCAGATAATGGAGATGTGCGCCAAAGCCCAGCGGCACCGAGCAGAGCTGTCTGGGGGACTTCCCAGGGAGCGGGGAGAATCAGAGAGGAAGCAGCTTCCTTTGAATGGTGTCATTTAAGACTCTTGCACTGTCATCTGAGACCATGTAGTGCCCCAAGTGGTCCCCTCCAGCTTCTGCAGAACCCGTGCTGCCTGCCCCCGCTTTCCCCACCCAGCAGTGGGCCTCCAGTGTGTCCTAGGTTCTGGGAAGCCGTCTGTGCCCAGGGGGGCTTCAGTGGGCGAGTCAGTCTTGCAGAGGTGCGGCCCGGGCTCAGCGCGGACACGAGGCTCTCTGATCAGGTCAACCGAGACCTGGAAGTCACTTTGGTTTGGGAAATCTGCACAGGCTTCTGGGAAGAGGTGTCATTTGATTAATCTCTCTCGAATGTCCTTTTGTCCTTCTTCGTGGACCCATTTGAGAATCTGGGGCGAGACCTGGCCTGTGGTATAGACCAGGTTAGTTTTCGGGGGGGGGACCTTGAACACCTTGCCCAGGGAATGGACAGTGGGAGCCACCGATGGTTTCAGAGCTGGGGAATGCCCTGCTCAACCCTGCTAGGACCAGGGCTTTGTGCACAGGCAGCTCTTGGGCCAGCATCTGCTAATTCCTTCAGAAATGTTCTTGGACTTGGAAGAAATTGTTACTTTCTCTGAAAGGCAACACGGACTTCTCAGGCTCCCTAAAGACAGTGCATCTCGCTCATGTGTCTTTCTGGGTCTGGCGTTGGGCTGTGCCTTGTCCACTGGTGCTCAGGGGCTGTTTCCTCTGCTCTGAGCCCCGATTCTGGGGCTGGGCCCCATCTTCCAAAGCCAGGCCAGCCACCACTGCTGGGCAGCTGTTGGAACTGTCCTTGGAAACCTAGTCAGGTGTGTGGTGGCCTGGCCATCAAGCAGAGCCAGAAGACCCCCCGTGAGGGGCAAGGCCACCAGGAACTCTGGTTTGTTGCTTTCCGGACATTTTACCGGGCCTGCCCCAGGGCAGAAGTGAAGAACCCTGACCGCACACTTGGCTTGAGTCAGCAGGGGAAGGTTTCCGCGGGTGGGATTCTGCACGTCCCCCGAGCTCTGGAAAAGGCGTGTACCCTGTGGCCAGCCAGCCTGCGGCTAGGCAGGATGTATCTTGGGAAAATCATCGCTTGAGGCTCTGCTTGCAGTGTTGGTTTCAATGGTCAGTGATTGGAGGGTGGGCCGTTAGTTGACATCCAGGGGCGAGGGATGAGTGACTTAAGGATGAGGCCTCCTTAATAGAGGAATACCATGAAAGTGCTGGGATCCGCAGTAGAGGGTGCATAGCTCTCCAGGTGAGAGACCCCATGAAATTAAGCCACAATTTAAAAAATTTCTAGCCAGGTGCAGTGGCCCACACCTGTCATCCCAGCGGCTCAGGAGGCTGAGGCAGGAGGATCTCGAGTTTAAAGCCAGCCTCAGCAACAGGGAGGCCCTAAGAAACTCTGTGAGTCCCTGTCTCTAAACACAAAACAGGGCTGGGGATGGGGCTCAGTGGCTGAGGGCCCCTGAGTTCAATCCCTGGTAACCCCCCCCAAAAAAATTCTAAATAGTGTTCAAGATTTGATTCCATTCCAGTTTTAAGTGAAATGCTCCACGTAGGGAATGAAAGCCCCATGATGACTCCGGCTGCTTGTCACAGAGCTGACCGTGGCTGCTGGCACTGACAGCAGGGTTTGGGACAATGAGAAACACTTGCTCTTCTGTGGTTTGAATTTTTCTGCAGTTCTCATGTGGAGCACCGAGGGGGCAGGGCGCTGCCAGAGGACGAACTGAAGACCAGGGGCAGGGAGGGGCAGGGAGGGGCGGCTGGAAGAGGCCCGGGGAGGATTGGCATCCCTCCAGGTCTGGGGTGCAGGCCTGCCTCAGCAAGGAGCTGGGTGGGGAGCGTGCGCGGCAACACAGCACCTGTCAGGGAAGCCCCTTATTTCTGTTTTGCATATGAGGACGCCCTCGTCTGCTGAGATTCCCTACTGTAATGAAATCTTGGAGACTTGTGGGGACTCTTCCTAAGTGTCATTAGGTTTTTTGGTACCAGGGATTGAACTCAGGGGCTCTCAACCACATCCCCAGCCTGATTTTGTATTTTATTGACAGACAGGGTCTCCCTGGGTTGTTTAGGGCCTTGATAAATTGCTGAGGCTGGCCTTGGAACTCTCCATCCTCCCACCTCAGCCTCCCAAGCACAGGATGACAGGCGTGGGCCAACCACACCCAGCTCAATAGAGTTTTTTCAGCTTACTTTGGTCACATTTCCGGTTTCTTAAAAACGTTTGCTTGACTTTTCCACCTTCTGCAAGTCCCAATTCCGGTGGCTTCTTTAGTGTTGAGCTGATGTGCTCTCAGCTCTCCACTTCTGGGTGTGCAGACATTCTTTTCAGATGCATTAAGCAAACAAAAACAATTCAGAAAAGCAGTGAAGAAGAAGAACAAGGAGGCCCCCAGGTCCTTGGAGAGCCAGGCTTTCAAGGTCTCCATTTTCCACCATCTAGAGCAGGGCCACAGACTTTCTTTGTCTAGTAAATAGCACAAACCATTGGGCCCTGTGGACTCTGTGACAGCAACTTAACCTGTCACTCACACAGATCCCTGTACTGGATGGCCCTTGAAAGGGGTCACAGCCATAGGAACCAATGGGTGTGGCTGTTGCCAATAAAACTTTATTGACCAAGCAGCCCCGTGGGTTGGACGGATCTAGAGGAAAAACAGGGGAAAGAAGCAGCTTGATTAATGGCTCGGGCCAGTGGTCCCCCTGTCCCAAAATAGCACAAATTGTAGGAAGGAACAGGCCGGAGAATTGAAAAGGCGGATGTTAGGCGGAGGGGAAGAGCTGTCCTGACCTTGTCCTGCAGGTCAGCGGTGGCCCCTGGCCGCGGGGTCTGGGCGGCAGCCGGGATCCCGCTTTGAGGCTCCCAAAGGCAGATGGGCCCCTTGGAGGCTCCGAGAAGTTTCTGGAAGAGCTGGCTTGCCATCCAGAACCCAAACCCCGTCCCTCCCGCAGAAGTGTCCAGGGGCCTGGGAGGGGCCCTGCAGCTGGGTGCCAGGTGGACTGGACTGCGGCGCCCGGAGGCCCAGCCGTGCCGAGGCGGCTGTCACAGGACAGGGACGCGCCCGCCCGGGGAGGGCTCACTGCGCCTGTCCCGCAGCCCGACGGTCCTCTGCAGCCCCCAGCCCTGCGCTGAGCAGCGGCGGCTTTCCGGGCTCGGAATCCAGGAAGGCGTGGTGCCCGGGGAGGGGCCCGCGGCCGGAGAACCGAAGGCCAGGAGCCTGGGTGGCGCCAGGTCCCAGTGCGCGCTCCTCTCAGCGACAGGCAGGTCAGTGTCCCCTCTCCCCGCGCAGCCTCTCATATCTGAGGCCCAGAGGGAGGCAGGGCTGGCTTTGCTGGTGCAGGGAAGTGCCCCAGTGCTGGGTCTGCAGGTCTGGGACCTCAGGAGCGGATCCCTCCGCAGCGACAGAAGCCGCATCAGTGGCTGCCAGGGCCGGTGGGGGCGAGGGCTCGGCCTCCCAGTGACGTGGGAGATGCTGTCCTTTGGGAAGGCGTTTGGAAGCTGGAGGGCGGTGGTCGTTGCGCAGCTCAGAGGGGCAGTGCTCAGGGCTCCCCGACTTCCGATGTCTCCGCTTTACGATGACGTGGGAGCTGCGCCAGGGACGCCGCGTTTGGAATTCTGAGTGTTTGCCCCTCACCTGGGCCTCAGGTGTGCTGTGTGATATTCTCTCCCAGTACGAAGTGGCTCCTGGGCCAAGGCATCACAAGGGGGAACAGCATGTGCACTCCCGAGTGCTCAGTGTATTCAGCCCTGAACGGTGGCACACGCCTCTCCCCCCAGCGCCTTGAGAGGCTGAGGCAGGAGGATTGCCCATTGAAGGCCAGCCTCAGCGATTTAGCAAGCCTCTGTCTCTGAATTAAAAAAAAAAAAAAAAAAAAAAAAAGACTGGGGATGAAACTCAGTGATAGAGTACCCCTGGGGTCAATTCCCAGTACAATCAATCAATCAAATCCAAATGAAAAGAGATCTTTGTGCTAGATGGCTTTGCCCAATTGTGTGCTCTCCTAAGTGACCTGAGTGCGTTTAAGGTGGGCCACCCTAGGTTGTCTGGTAGGTTAGTGGTATTAAGTGCATTTGGACAGCAGTATTTTCAACTTAAGGATGGATTCATTGGGACATGTCACCATAAGCCCAGGAATATCCATACTGTGAGTTTAGTAGCCACCGTGGCATTGAGAAACCTGGAGGTTCTTGAGAATGAAGGGGTATGACCCAGATAAACAGGGGTGTGTGGGCACCCTGGCCAATGCCACCCTGTGCAGACTCTCCTCCTCCTTCAGCTTCCTGAGTCGCTGGAATGACAGGTGTGCACCACTGCACCAGGCTAGTATTTGTTCTTTTGTGATCCATGTGTCTTGCATGATGCCCTTGTGGTTTGTCTGTTGGAGCAGCTGTCAGAATTTCTTTCCTTTTTAGAGCTGTATAATATTCCTCCGTGTGAGTATTCCCCATTTGGCTCATCTGTCTGTTTGAGGTGGACAGTTGGGTTGTGTCCACCTGCAGGCTGTTGTGATGATGCTTGAACATCAGTTTACAAACACCTGTTCAAATGCCTGTGTCCACTTCTTTTGGATATGTGCCTAGGGGTGGCATTTCTAGATCCTATGAGTGGTTTGGGGGGATTCCCATACTGTTTCCACGGCGACTCTGCCATTTTACATCCCCACAGCAGTATCTAGGGTCCCAGTTTCTCCACATCCCGGTCTGCATTTCTCCTCCTTTCTCTTTTCACAATAGCCACCCCATGGGTGTGACATGCCCTTTACCTGTGCATGTCATAAAAAGCAGTGATTCTAGTGACGCTCAAGTGGACTTTGGAAACCTGACCGGGAGGGAGGGTGGGGACCAGAGTGCCAGCCGCCTGCAAGCCAGGCACGCCCTCCTCCGTCTCCTCTCCTCACCTGTGAAACAGGGGTCACAGCAGGACCGGCCACTGGGGCTCTTGAAGGGCCAGGGTGGAGTAATTCCTGAGAGACACCCAGCAGAGTGCCTGGCACCATCTGCGCCCCGAGATCATGGCTGTTTTTACTCTAAGCACGTTGTTTTCATTCTGGTTTCATGTGTTTTGTTTTCGGGTTTTGAGATGGCGTCCCACTGTGCTGCCTGGGCTGGCCTCTATCCTCTGGCCCTCCTTTGATCCTCCTGCCTCAGCCTCCTGAGTGGCCGGAGACACAGGTGTGGGCCATGGCGCCCGGCCGCACCTCGGCATTTTGAATGGATGGAAGAACACAGCTCACAAGCCCCCCCCCCCATGACTGTGACATTTGCCTCTCCTGGAGAATGGGCACTGTTCCCGTGGTTCTCCTGTGACGGCCGAGGCTCACCCATCTTTTCTGACCCCAAACCAAGGACTTGCAGGGTGAGGGCTTTGCGGGGCTCTGATGGTGCCCAGGCTGGCTGGGGCTGGGGTGGTCTGCCTGCGGCCCTGGCGACGTTTCAGGAGGGTTATGAGTCGGAATTACTTCCAGCAGGGCATCCTCAGGGGGACAGGGGACCACAGTGCCCTGCAGATACAGTGGCTTTTCTTTCTGGTGACTTCCTAGGGTGACTTTCTAGCGACGGGGTCACTGAGTTGAAAGTAGACAGGGTTTGGGGGGACGAGGTGCACGGGGAGCCTCCCCACTCCTGTGATGGGGGGCTGGTGGTCTTTCAGGGCCAATGCCCATGTGGGGACAGCACCCCAGTGTTGACAGGATTTTTTTTGGTACCAAGAATTGAACCCAGGGGCCCTCCACCACTAAGCCCTTCCCCAGCCCTGTTCTGTGTTTTATTTAGAGACAGGGTCTCACTGAGCTGCTTAGGGCCTCACCATTGCTGAGGCTGGCTTTGAACTCAGGATCCTCCTGCCTCAGCCTCCCGAGCCACTGGGAAGACAGGTCAGGAGAGGCTTCCTGGAGGCGGTTGGAGGAGGAGGGGATCATGGGTGCACAGAGATGAGGAGGCAGATAGAGAAAAAGGGTGCGTCCTGCCTCCTGCCTGGGCGTCACTTCAGAAGTAGGAGAGTGTGTGTAAAAGACAGAGGGAGCAGCCTCCATTGTAGACTAGGCTGGCAGGAGAGAGAGGGTCAGATCCGGGGCCTTGGGGAGGAGTCAGGTCTCCACCCAGGGGCAGTGGGAGACCGGAGGGATTTGAGCTGGGGGTGACGTCCCGACCCTTGGGTATTAGGGGAGGCCCAGCCTTGGGAACCAAGGGCCATGCTGAGGCTGACTCCAGAAGTTCCTTCTCCATGACGCCCTCCCGGCCACCGAGGAGTCCCCTTCTGCATAGTCACCAACATTCTGCACACTGGGATCAAGTTTCGTTCACTGCTCTCTCTGTGTTCAGGGCTTTCTGTGTGTTGGGTTCCCTGCTGCATCCCCAGCACCTGGCACATAGTAGGTGCTCATTAATAGGGCATTGGAATGGATGAATGAATGGTTGGATGGATGGATGGAGAGATGAGCTAGGGCTGCAGCCACGGGGACAGGGACAGGGGACGCGCGTGCTCCAGTGACATCTGACATTTCGGCTGGGCCCTGTGCATCTGGGGCCCGTGGGTGGCCAGATCTTGTGTGTTCCGCGCCCAGCTCCTCCTGGAGGACGCCAGCCTGCGCTCTGCCAATCTGCTCCTGGCCTGTTGCTGGGTGCGCGTCACGGGACGGGTCTGCAGATTCAGGGGCCAAGGTCATGTTCCGGGAGACACTGAAAGGTGTCAGGACCGGCCCACGCCCCCGCACCAGATGGTGGCCTTCCCGGGAAGCAGCGGCAGCCAGAGAGCTGCTGAGCTCCCAGCACGGCTGGCGGGTGTGACTGCGGAGAAGCGTCCACAGCCGCGGGAATGAGTCAGGGCCTCCGAATCCCGGGTAAGAGCTGTTTGGTTCTGAATGGGAGCGTCCCTCTCGCCCGTCCCCAGGGGACTGAGCCCCATGGCTGCTCCTGGCACTGGGGCATAGAGCCCGGCGCCTCGGGAGGCCGCCTGTGCCCGGAGCGTCAGGATGAGGGTTTGGGATGGCCCCCGTGGTTCCTGCACCTGTTGCTCAGTGACTCCCTCCGTAGACAGCTTGTCACGGGAAGTGGGGGGTTTCAGGCTTTGCAAATGAACCCAGGGACATCAAACCTGAGGATTCTTCAGGTGGAGCCTGAGAAGTGCCCACTGCTGCGGTCACAGCGGGGGTCAGGCTGAGGTCCTCTCTGTCCTGGTCGCCCACAGCCTGCTGACCCCCAGGTGGACGCCTGGCTGTCTGTCTGCCCCACGCTGACCTCTGTGACAGTGAGTGTGCACACCACACACACAACCAGGTCTGGCTCAGGAGGGTTCCCCCGGGAGCTCGTGGTCACCTGACTCTGACCGCGGCTTCACTAAGGCATTTGGAAGGAGCCGGCGAGGCCACCCAGGAATAAATAGCATCCGGCTTGGGTGCGAGTGGGCTTCCAGAGCGTCTTGGAAGAGAGGAGCATCTTTTAAATCAGGCTAACATATGCGATGCTTCTAAAGTAAGGTCTGAAGGCACAGCCTTAATCGAGCGCCGCGTTTTGTGACAGGGTGAGGGAAAACCTGAGCTCTCTGGGTCTCGGGGGTCGCCAGGACTTGGGACTGTTATTCCGTGGTCTGCGGTGGTGGTTTAGGGTCCTGCTCTCCTTGGATTGATTCATTGGTTCCTCGATTCGTGTAGCCTCCTTTGCAGACCAGGGCGTCCCCCAGGGCTTAGTTGGAGCATGGGTCCTGCCCTTGGAAGTGTGCCTGCCTCGCTGAGAGGAGTCCCGCTCAAGACCTGAAGGTCTGTGGTGACCTTGAACCTGTACCACAGGCTGGCTCCAGGTTGGAGGTAGACAGAGAAGTTTGAGCTGTGGCCAGCTCCATGTGTGGGGAAGAAGGGTCCCCAGGTAACAGGCACAGCGTGTGCAAAGGCCCTGAGAAAGCATGTGAGGACCTCTGAAGGGTGCATCATGCAAATGCAGAACAGAAGGAAGAGCTCCCAAATGACGTTGAGGGCATTGTCTGGGACCACCATTCCAGATCTAGGCAGCTCATTCTCTTCCTCCTTTGTTTCCTCATGAACTGTTGTAAAGGAAGACATTATGACCTAGTGTTGCAATTGCTGTGTGTGTGTGTGTGTGTGTGTGTGTGTGTGTGTTACATAAGACTGTGAGTTCCGTGGTTGCAGGGTGGTAGTTCTTCTTACACATAGTAGGTGCTCAGTAAACACGGGGGATTCTTATTGTCTCCTGCGCACACATGGATATATAAGGCTAACAAACTGGAAAACGGGAAGGAGTGTGTTTTAGTCGCTGGAGGAGATGCCAGCGGATGCAGTTGGAACCCAAAAGCTTTTGCGCCGTCTGTGCACATATTGCCAGAGCTCCGGAACTGAGGCTGTCCCCTGTGCCTCAGACCTGCTGAAACTCAGCTGCAGGGACCAGCCTCCGTCCCCCGCTGGCTCCTGCCATGGGCGCACACAGCTGGCCCCGTTCCCCCTGAGCAGGGACTCTGGGGCTTCCCCGGACTCACGTGTCCCCAGCCAGGGCCACCAGCTTGGGTAAGTGGGTGCAGGCGCCACCTTCATGTGGGGCTGCGGTCCGGGAGGTGCAGACCCCGGTGCTGGGAGACTTTCTCCCTGGAATCCTGTGGCTGTCCTGTGTCTCCTGCCTGGGCTGCATGTGTCCCACACAGGGCTCCAGCGGCCCGAGGCCGGCTGCGGGGGCAGGGGCAGGGGCAGGGCCGGAGCAGGGGGCTGTCCGGTTCTCAGATCCTGTGGGTCTGTCCCTCTGTTCTGCCTGTGACCGCGTCGGGGTGATGTTCTGGGTGGGAGATGGGCTCTCCTGGCCCCTGAGGGGGTAAGGAGGAGAGAACCCCAAACCCGGCTGCGTCCCTCTGTGTCCCTACCGAGGCTGCGAGTGAGTCAGCCGGAGCCGCGCAGCCCGCAGACTGCAGAGGAACCAAAATACCTCGGAGGTTTTGCGCATCTAGCTGGGGGCGGGTGGGCAGTTTTTAAGGGAAAGACGACACGCCTGGAGCCGGTGGGGATTGGGAACAGTGAGGGTTCCCACTTTTTAAGATCAGAAAGGAATCAGAAAAATATTGTTTTAAAGGCAGGGCTGGATGCGACCCGTTCAGCCGCAGGTCAAGCCACAGCTGTGTGATAATAAACAAGCTGGGTAACCTCTCTGGGCCCTTTCCTTTCATCTGCAGAAGAAAGACATGACAATTCTTGCCTTTCTGAGTTGTTTGAAGCCTAAGGCAGGGGGAGGCGTGGTCTCCTATCTGGGTGAACCAGGGCCTTGCCCTCTGCAGCCTCGGCAGGTGAATCTGATCTGTGGACCCACTTTACAGGGTTGTGGGGGTGAGAGCTATGGACCGCATGGAGCTCTTGGTTCCACGGTCTGTGTCACTCATGGTCGGCTGTCACGGTCAGTTTTACTAAGAATAGGAAGGGGGCTGGGGTCGTGGCTCAGCAGGAGAGCACTCTTCCTGCGCATGTGAAGCCCTGGGTTCGATCCTCAGCACCACATAGAAATAAATAAATAAAACAAAGGTATTGTGTCCAACTACAACCAAAAAATAAATATTAAAAAAAAAGAATATGAAGGGGATTGGGGTGGGGCGCGTGGCACACATCTGTCATCCCGGTGGCTTGGGAGGCTGAGGCAGGAGGATCCCAAGTTCAAGGCCAGCCTCAGCAACTTAGCAAGACCCTGTCTCTACATAAAAAAGTTAAGAAGGCTGGGATTTTTCAGTGGGTAAGCACCCTGGTTAAAAGAAAGAAAAAAAAGAGGAAGGGACATAAAATAGGTGTTCAACAGAAAGAGCCCAACAGCAGATGAGTGAAAGCAGGCTGAGTGGGAACAGCGGCTTCGATTTTTAGTGCCCAGGGGAAGGCAAGAGGCTCCGGCGGCCCGGTTGGGGTGGTGACTATGGCACGGGTTCCAGGCCACTCCCCAGCTTTGTGATTCTGGGAACCCCTGGTTCACGCAGCTGTGTGAGCTGGGGCTGGTCACTTACCCTCTCTGTGCTTGGTGCTCAGCACAGGGCTGTGATGCAGATCCTCCAGGGTGCCTGACAGACCCTGGGATGGAAACAGCCAGCGCCACAGGAGCAGGGGGGGAGGGGACCACACACCCATTGGGCCTCGGGCTGGAACGTGTGCGCGGGTTCAAATCCCGACTTGACCTCTGGCTTCCTGAGCGCCCTCTGGCCTGTTTCTGGGCCTCTCTGGGCTGGCTTCCTTATCTGTCAGGCAGAGGTCCTGGCCTCTAAGACCTGGCTGGAGACCTGGTGAGTCAGGAAGGACCCACAGGATGCTGGCCCTTGTCCAGCCCGTGAGGGGCTGTGCAGGCCCCTCCCTTCCCAGAGCTCAGAGGTAGGGTCCCCAGGCTGCCTGGGGAGGTCGGGGTCCGGGGCTCAGGTCTGGGGTCCCCCTGCTGGGGCCCAGACACTGTTTGCTTAATTGACATTTTTTTTTTCAAGCAGTCGCTTCTCCGTTTCTGATGCTCTTGATCCTGCTGGAGCCTCAGCCGTAACCATGGTGACGCGGGTCGAGGTTGGCTCCATACCGTCCTTGACGGCAGTGCCGGGCCTCGGGGACATGGGCAAGGAGGAGGCCCTGAAGAGGACTTACTTCTGCCCCGCGGGGGACGCCTCTGGGACACCCTCGGCCCGGATCTTGGAGGGCAAGAGCCCCCTGCGGAGCCCGGGCCGCCTCTTCCCCGTGCCCAGGCTCGCCCCGCGGCCCTTCTCCAAGGACCAGGCCCCCGACGTGAAGGCCCCCAGCTCGGCCCTGTGGCCTGGGCCCGCCCGGCCGGGTCCCTCGGGGCCTTGTGACCTGGACAGGAGGATGCCCAGCCTGGGGGGGCAGGGGGTGGGCGGTGGAGTGGCCTCGGGGACAGGCCCGTCCCCGCTCAGCAAGGCTGCCTGCCCACGGCCCGGCCCTGGCACCGCGCTTCTCTTTGAAGCCACCAGAACTGGTCCCACCCTGGGGAAGGGGCTCAGCGAGGGCACGGTGGCCGTGACCCCCGAGTCTCCTCCCAGCTCCCGGCCTGAGGTGGCCGCCAAGCCTGCCCGGAAGCCCCCAGGGGCCCTTCCCCGGCCGGCGTCACTGCCACAGGACATGCGACCAGCCGTCCCCCAAGAGGAGGCCACCCATGACCAGTCGGTCCCAGAGGGCGGCGAGGAGGACCCCACGGGACCCCCAGCAGAATCCAGGCCTCGCCCCAAGAGAAGGCCCGTCTCGGCCATGTTCCTGGAGCCCGCTCAGCCCCCGAGGCCGGGCCCAGGCGCAGGGGCCACGTCGGGGAAGGTGGCCCCGGCCCCGCCCGAGAAGACCTGGGTCAGGAAGCCCCGGCCGATGTCCGTGGACCTCACGGCCCCGTTCGAGAGCAAGGAAGCCCTGCTGAGGAAGGGGACCCGTGAGGGGCCGCAGGGGACAGACAGGGCCAACCCGGAGCCTCGGGTGGACGGGGGGTGGCCTGCCAGAGCCGAGGGTCCCCCTGGGGACCCAGACGCAGACTTCCTGGAGGTGGCCAAGAAGATCCGAGAACGGAAGGAGAAGAGGCTTCTCAGGCAGGAAGAGACGGGCAGCCCCAGGAGCCCAGGGGACCCGGCCAGGGCGGGCCCTGGACATGACCCACGACCCCAGCAGGAGAAAGCCAGCCTGGGCCAGGAGCCAGAGAAGACGCCCCCGTCCCCGCTGCCCAGGTCAGCGAGGGGCCCGGAGCTCGCGGAGGCCAACAGCAGAGGGGGCGACAGGGAGGCCGCAGCGGGGACGGCGGGGGCCTCCAGGGGCTGCGTCAAGAAGCGCCTGAGCCTATTCGGGGAGGAGAGCCGCCTGGGCCCCGCAGCAGCATGCGAGTCCCCACCGGCCACCCCTCAGTCCCCACCCACAGTGCCACCGCCCCAGAAGGGGGGCGTGAGTGTCCAGGAGCGGATCAAAGGCTGGACCGCGGAGGGCGCCAGGGGGAGGCCCGAGCTCAGGAGGAGGACGCTCCCGTGGTCGCGGCCGCTGTCGGCAGATCTGACCAGACTGTGAGTGGCCACCTCCCCGCCCCCACCGCCTCATCCACGCCCCCGGGGGACAGGGTTCAAGGGCCTGGGCTCCTCCTGGCCAGCTTATCTGCGGCCCTGAGAGCAGGTGGGAGTCACTGCCCTCCTCGGACCCTCCGCCTCCCCCACAGTGGGACAGATTGTTCCCCGCTTCCCAATTTGGCATTGCCCAGTGTTGTCACCGCCAGGCCTTCCTCCCCAAGGTCAACGACAGTTGAGATTAGGCCCAAGCCTCCGTGAGCGGCCCCCAGATCAAACCAGAGGAGCCAGGGAGCCTGGTGAGCCTCATTGTCCTTCCCTGGACACTGGCTGCAGGGAGCGCCCCCTGTCCCCCACCCCCACCCCAGCAGCCCAGAGCAGGGCCTCCTGCCACCGGGTGTCCTGGCTCGGTTGCTGGCTAGGCCCCTGGTCAGTGAGGGCTCTGAGCCCTGCCCACTGCCCAGGCACCCTGCTTCACCGGAGAGTGGCCACAGCAGGGAGCTGCTACCCTGCTGGTCAGTGTCACCCATGCTACTGACACGCTTAGTCCAGGGAGGAGCCTCAGAGCTGGCCTCCAGGTGGACTGCCCTCTCACCTGGGAACCAAGCCGCCAGCCAGGCCCCGCACACACTAGAATCACCCCAGAAAGGTGAGCCCTGCTTGGGCTGCACCCCAGCGCTTCTAGTCACTGGGCCTGGGAGGGGGGCTCATGTTTGGGTCTTTTCTCTTTTTTTTTGGTACCTGGGTTTGAACTCAGGGGCCCTCACCACTGAGCCCCACCCCAGCCCTATTCTGTGTTTTATTTAGAGACAGGGTCTCCCTGAGCTGCTCAGGGCCTCACTGTGGCTGAGGCTGGCCTTGAACTCACAGCCTCCTGAGCTGCTGGGAGGACAGGCCTGACCGCGCCCAGCTGGGTCATTTTTAGAAGCTTCCCAGGGTTCTCAGGCTCAGACAGGCCTCAGGGCCCTGAGTTAACGAGGACAGAGAAGAGGGCACTGTGCCAGGGCCTCCCCAGCTTCCACTCACTGTGCCCTGGGACTGCCCCAGGTGGCCAGGTGGTCATCTGACCGAAGGGGACATTGAGGCAGGGAGTTTAGACAGGACCCATCCCAGCCCCACCTCCCAGGAAGCAGACCCCTCCCCTGCTGAGTTGGGGTCAAGTTCCAAGTGGCTGGTCCTCCCCGCCCTCTTCCACACAGCAGCCCTACCCCGCCCTGAACTGAGCAAGTGCCACATCTGCATGTGACGTCCACAGAAGAGACATCAGAGAGGGAAGGACCCGCCCTCCTCCCTCTCTCCCTTCATAAGTGGGGAAACCGAGGCACACAGGGACCTCGGTTAGACTCTGGCCACCCAGAGAGGCCTCACGCGCGGCTGTGACGGCCACTGCCTGAGGCTCGTGGCAGGGTTAAGGTGGGGACTGGGCCTGGGGCTGCCACCCCTCCCAGGCGTCCCCTCTCCCCAGACGCCTCCGTGTAGCTATTAGGGCCGTTGGTGGCCTCTTATCTGCCCTATAAAAGAAGGTGCTCATTATCCCCACTTTATAGACAGGAAACAGGCTCCGGTGAGGTCCCAGGCCTGAGCTGGGACAGCACTGGGTGTCCGCACCCGCCTGGGCGCCTTCCGCCCCATGCTCTGCCTGCACAGGCCCTGCCCCCGCCCCCTCCTTTGGTGACCCTCAGGAGGTGTCCTGCGGCTTGGCCTTGGAGGCCAGTGATCTCACCAGCCCCTGAGCTGGAAGCAGAGTGGGCTGCGGGGGGGCCCGGGGGCCCGGCTGCTGGCTCCTCGCGAGTGACTCGGGTCTCTGTGCCAGGTTTTCAAGTTCAGCCTCCAGTAGCGACATCAGGTGTGAGAAGACCGCTGTGCCCAGCCCCACGTGTCCTGAGGAGCCCTCGGCCGAGGTGAGTGGTGGCTGGGCTTTGGGCAGGACGCTGGTGGGTCTCCATCCCCAGGTGTCAGGCAGGTGGTGTTTATTTTTCTTCCTCTGTGCTAGGAGGACGAGGGCCTGCGTTTCCTGTATGAATCCTGCCTTAGTGAAACCCCAAACTTAGGTTTAAATGACATTAAAAGTCCCTGAAGCTGGGCATGTAGCACGCACCTGTCATCCCAGCGGCTAGGGAGGCTGAGGCAGGAGGATCACGAGTTCAAAGCCAGCCTCTGCCATAAGCACCTCAGACCCTGTCTCTAAATAAAACAGGAGAAGGGCTGGGGTGGGGCTCAGCTGTCAAGTGCCCCTGGGTTCAGTCCCTGGTACCAAGAAAAAAAAAGTCCCTCAGGTTACCCTGTCATGACTCTCCCTCCTTCGTCACCTTTACTTGTCACCCAGCAGAAGAAAGAAGGAAGCTGGCAGCAATTTCACTGCCTACAAGTGTTTCTGTGTCATCGTTCAGTAAGAACAGGCTCCTAGGTCAGCCCTTGGCATGACTTCGTGCGCCCGGTGCTCTGTGAGGTCCTGATGCTTAAAGCTGCTCTGTTGAGGGACACGTGACCGACACGGAGAGCTCGTGGCGAAAGCTCACAGGGGAGTCCACAGCTCTGCACACGGAGGCAAATGCCATGATTTTATTCTCTTTTATTGCTGAGTAATACTCCATTGTGTATCTATGCCACATTTCTTTATCCATTCATCCACTGAAGGGCATCTAGGTTGGCTCCACAGTTTAGCTATTGTGAATTGTGCTGCTATGAACATTGACATGGCTGTGTCACTGTAGTCTGCTGTTTTTAGTCCTTTGGGTATAGACCAAGGAGAGGGATAGCTGGGTCAAGCGGTGGTTCCATTCCCAGATTTCCAAGGAATCTCCACACTGCTTTCCATATTGGCTGCACCAATTTGCAGTCCCACCAGCAGTGTATGAGTGTGCCTTTTCCCCCACATCCTCACCAACACTTGTTGTTGTTGGTCTTCATAATGGCTGCCATTCTGACTGGAGTGAGATGGTATCTTAGAGTAGTTTTGATTTTCATTTCTCTAATTGCTAGAGATGTTGAGCATTTTTTCATATATTTGTTGATTGATTGTATATCCTCTTCTGAGAAGTATCTGTTCAGGTCCTTGGCTCATTTACTGATTGGATTATTTGGGGGTTTTTTTTTGGTGCTTAGCTTTTTGAGTTCTTCATAGACCCTAGAGATTAGTGCTCTCTCTGATGTGTGAAGGGTAAAGATTTGCTCCCAGGATGTAGGCTCTCTGTTCACCTCACAGATTGTTTCTTTTGCTGAGAAGAAACTTTTTAGTTTCATTCCATCCATTTATTGATTCTCGACTTTAATTATTGTGCTATAGACGTCTTATTAAGGAAATTGGGGGCTAATCCCACATGATGGTAATTAGAGCCTACGTGTTCTTCTATTAGACTCAGGATCTCTGGTTTTATTCCTAGGTCCTTGATCCACTTGGAGTTCTGTGCACGGTGGGAGACAGGGGCTTAATTTCATTTTGTTGCACATGGATGTCCAGTTCTCCCAGCACCATGTGTTGGAGAAGTAGCCGGTGCCTTCTGATGGGCCCAGGCTGTTCGTGTGCTCTTCTGCTTTCACAAGCTGGGCTTCCAGAACTTTCTTGTTCACTTGTGCATGTGGGCAGAGAAACCCTGGGAAGAATCTGGTCATCCAGGGAAGAACGGGCCTTAAGACCCCCGTAGCTGAGCCCCGTTCTCTATGTCCTTCTATTGTGTCCTCTGCAGCGGCCGCCATTGGTGTCTGTGTCCCTCGCTTGCCTGCCCCGGGGTGTGAAGTGGTTTAACGGTGAAGTGGCTGCAGGGTTGCCACCCGCCTTCCTGTCCCCCTGAGTGCGTTAACACCGCCTGTTTGCTTGTGTCTCCAGCAGAAGGAAGGACAGAGTCTGAATGGACGGACTTCCCCAAGGACCCTCTGGAAGCCTGAGGTCCCCCAGAAGAAGGGCAGACAGCCTGCAGGCCAGGACGGCGCTGACCAGGTCCCCAGCCGCTGTCGGGGTGGCGGCTCCTCTGGGGCTCCAGGCTCCCCTGAGGCCACCCTGGAGGACGAGGGCAGCTTCCAGAAGGTGTGGGCCACTGTGTTCGAGCACCACGTGGAGCGACACTTGGTGGCTGACCTGTCGGGACACCGCCTCTCGGCCACGCTCCCTCATAACGAGGCCGAGCCGCCCGTCCCAGAGCCCAGACCCAGGCCCGAGAAGGGCCCTTGGCCGGCAGTGACGGTCCCCAGGAAGGAGAACCCCAGGAGCCCCGAGAGCGCTGAGCCACGGAGGCTGGGACGAGGCTCCCTGGCCGATGGGGAGCCGAGACCGGGCCACACGCCCGTCCTGGAAAAATACCCTTTTGGTGACAAATGCACCAACAGCCCTGTCCCAAGGCCCGTGGAAACCCCCCCGGCGTGGCCGAGAGTGGAGCCCAGGTACGACGTGGTGCTCGCCGTCGGGGAGCGCGCCCACAGCGAGGCTGTCCCCCTCGTGCCCGAGGCCAAGGCTGTCACACTGCGAAGCAGCCGGACCCGGCCCTTGCTCAAGGACCGGCAGCTGTCCCAGGAGGCCACCTCCTCTGACCTGGAGCGCAGCCCGCACGGGCCCCGGGGGTGTGTCCAGAGGGCCAGTCTGATGTGGGAAGCTCAGGGGCAGGAGGCCAGCGGGAGGCCTGTCTGTCGGGAGCCCAAGGACATGCCCGGAGGCAGCTGCCCATCGCCCAAATGGACAGGTGGGACGGTGGCGAATCTGCATAGAGCCACCGTGGGGGCCAGCCCAGCGCCCTGTGCTCCTGAGGCCACTTCTTCCAGCACTGTCCAGGCTTCGGTCCGGGAGGCACAACCCCGGGGCCCTGGGAGGGTCAGTGTGTTGGTGGCAGGAGAGGTTCCCTCCCAGGGAGACCCCCGGGGTCCTCCAGCCAGGACCACGGACAAGCCCTTGAGCTCCCCGGCACAGCCGTGCCCAGAGACGCAGCCTGTGCAGAAGGGGCCTCGTGTGGCTGCCAGCACGGGTGACGCAGGGCTGGCCCAGGTCCCCGAAGCCAAGGTGTGGAAAACCAGTCCCAGTACCCGGAGGGTGGACCGGTGGAGGCGGCGGACTTTACCCCACTACGTGAAATTCGACGACTTCAGCCTCCTGGGCCCCGAGACCACTGCGAGAGCCGAGCAGAGGCCAGCCGACTCCCTGGGCCCCACGGCCGGTGCCTTCCAGAACCCCCCCACCCCACCCGCCCCGGAGACCCAGGAGGAGGCCCCAGGGCCCTCAAGGACCTCCCCAGCAGGGAAGCCAGCGTCATCTGTGGAGCCCAGGGTGACGTTTTTTGCAGTAACATATCAGATTCCTGATATTCAAAAGACAAAAAGTGTCGTTAAGCTCAGGCCTGAGAACTCACTGGAACATTCTAGAAAAACGGCCCCGCATCCCTCATCCCACCCTCTCACATCTGCTTTGGTTTCTCCCAACCACGGGGAGCCACAGGCGACTGCGGGCAGGAGAAGCTGGGCTCAGGGACCAGAGGGTGTCAAGGGGACCGATGTCTCCAGGGCCCCGAAGCCCACAGACCGCCCTTCGCCCCCCAGGGACGGGATTCCGGACCCTTCCCGCGAAAGGATCATCGACGTGGACGCTTTATCGACTCCTCGGGGGTCAGGAGATGGCGGGGGTCTTCAGAGCAGCTGGAAGGACTGTGGAAACAAGGTGTCCCAAACTGCCCCAGCCCTGCGGAGTCGGCCAAAGGCCAGCAGCCTACTGGTCAGAAGGAGGACCGAGGTGGTCAGCGAGACGTACCCAGGGAAAATGAGGGACGGCTACAGACCCGGCGTCCTCGACATCGACGCCCTGATGGCCCAGTACCAGGGGCACTGCTCCCAAGGCCCGGACGAGGCCCAGGAGCGCAGGGGCAGCCCCACCGCGGAGCCCAGCAGCTCGCCCCTCGAGAGGCCCGGCCGGCTGGGGAGGCAGGAGCTGGGCAGCGGGAGTCCCCAGGAGGCTGCGGGGGTCTGGAAGCGAGCCAGCCTGGCCGAACCCCTTCGCACGTCCAGCCCCAGCTCCCCCAGGCCGCCAGCAGAGACCCCAGGGCCAGCTCCGGCCACCAAGCCTAGCTCCCCTCTGTGGGCTCGGCCACTGCCCACTCCCGCGGAGCAATGTCCTGCGGCCTCTCCTGTCCCTGATGGTCCCAGGCACAGAGTCTTGGGGGTCACTGAGAATGAAAGCAGGGCCTCCGGCAGCCAGCTCAGGGCCAAGTGTCAGCACTACCCTGTCGAGCGCAGGCCCCCTGCCCCCGAGGACCCGGCCGGTGGGGTGAGGGGATCACCCAGGTCACCCGCCGATGACCACAAGAACAGGACTCCAAGGAAGTCCACTGGGGAGGGCGAGGAGGCCCCGGGGAGCGGCCCCCCACAGCCCTGTGGAAAGGTGGTGCCGGACGTCAAGAGGTCCTGCTCCGAGAAGGGCCCCCGTGCCAGGACCCAGGAGGGTCTGTCCATCATGCAGGAAGCCAGAGAGAGGAGGCCAGAGCTACCCAGGGGGAGGCTCAGCCTCCCCGTGGAGAGTTCAGAAGCCAAAGCAGGACCGCAGAGGTGGGAGCCGAGGACTCAGGACAGCCACAAGGTGAGTCAGAGGCTCTCTTGTTTTTCTTTTCAAACCATGATTAAGCCTCCAGGTCTCAGGCATCAAACTCAGGCCTTATGTGAGTCACACAAGGGCACTAAGGAGTGGAGTCAGTGAGCTGCAGGGAGCAGCGGGGAGTGTGGCAGACAGAGTCTCCTGCCCGCTCAGGAGGGGCCACCGCTGTTTGGTTCTGGCTGGTTCTTGACTCATGAGAATGGCAGGCCTGAGAGGACAGGCCTCATCTTTTAAGAGAATGTGAAGATCCGAACGTGTGTCTAAGCCCCCCATAAGGAAAGGAGGGCGATTCATGTTAAAACGCCGTTGTCTGCTGCTTCCCTCAGCCCCTTCAGGCCGCTGGCTAGAAGGATGGTAATGAAGCATCAGTGCAAGCCTTAACGGAGCACCTGCTGTATATGGTGTGCTGTGCTCTTTGTCATATCCACAGTACACAGCCTCATCCTCACCACCTTGTGAACACTGAAGCAATGCTGCGGAATGAGTGTACCACCCCCTGTCCTGCAGCACCGTGCTCAGTGCTGGAGGAGCCACCTGCCACCGGCACATGCTTAAGTGTCAGGCAGGGCACTGACAATGTCCATAGGGTGTGGTGGTCTTCCCAAACAGATGGAAGACATTGAGGTTCTGAGAGGTTCAGTAACTTGTCCCAGGTCACACAGCAGTAAGTGACAAAGCTGGTGTCTGAGCCCAGGTCTGGCCTGGTTTTTACCTAGTGCTCGTGGGCCACCTTCTAACTGGCCATGTTGGGGCCCAAGGAGCCACAGAGCTGTCTGGGAGCTTCTGAGCTCTGTGGGAGATGGACACGCGACCCAAGGCCAGGAAGTGACACGGTACAGAAGCAGGCTGTAGGAAAGAGAGTCAGGAGGGCCTGTGGAGGAGGGCCTGGCTTGAGCCTGACCTTCAGGGGCCAGGGGACTTGGGTGGGCAGAGGAGGGGTCGTGGGGCTCTCGCAGGGGTCTGGAGGTGGGGGAAACTGGGGGGTGTTCTGGCGATGGCACCCTCCTGGGGGACCAGGCACTGGTGATCCAGCTCCATATCCCATCCCTGCTGCTGGCAGATGGTCCTGGACTATTCTGCGGTGCTAAGGCCACCGTGCCTGGGTCCCCCACAAGACCAGAGCAGGCTCGGCCACCTGCCAGGCGCAGCTCCCGGCACGGGCTCTGGGCGCACCTGATCTTGGCGCGAACCGCACTCAAGCTTGCTCCCTCCTCTGGGAAGATGGTGGGGTCCCCGGGCGGGGACTCTGGGGAGGAGGAGCTGGGATCGAGGTTGGCAGGGATGGCCACCTGTCCCCCGCCTGGGGCTGTGACTGCAGGAAGCCGTGTGAAGGGGGCCCTTGAGTCTCCACAGCAGCCTGAGCGCGGGTGGCCTGGTGAGGGAGGCCGTGGAGGTCTGCGGAGCCCGCGGCCCCGGGCTGCTGTAGGGGGGGCGCTTTCCCACCGCAGGCCCTGGAAGCCGTGGACCTGCCCCCTGGCGCTCTCTTCTCTCCCACCCAAAGATCTCTGGTTTTTATCTAAAAAAAAAAAAAAAAATCCAAACCAAACAGAAAAACCCAAACCCAAACAAAAACCAAAATCCAATTCAAAAGTACAAAATGTTGACTGTTACAAATTCAGCCCTTGCAGGTGTATAAGAAATAAAAGGTGCACGCCAGTTGGGGTGGTACATACCTGGAGCCCCGGCTACGCAGGGAGGCTGAGGCAGGAGGATCACCAATTCAAGGCCGGCCTCGGTAACTTGGGCTGGGGCTGGGGCTCTGTGGCAGGGTGCGTGGCTGACCTGCCGAGGCCCTGGGCTCCACCCCAGCACCACAGCAGACAGACAGACAGACATGCAGCTTCCCCAGGTTTTTATGTCCTTTGGGACAGTCTTATGTTCCATAGTCATTTCTCTTGTTGCAGAGGTGAGGCCTGCTTGGGTAACATTTGAAATTTAGAATATTATAGGACATCCGCGTTAGAACGGAATCTGCCCCCAGAGAATGAAACCGGGACCGTTCCAGACATGTCAGTGGTTCTCGCCGCCGCCGATGTGTCCCTAGGACACCTTTGCTCATGGCCGGGCGCTCTTCTGCTCGCCCAGCTGGGGAAGAGCTAGCCAGGGCATCTTACCGGGTAGGAGCCCAGGATGCTGCTCTGCAGCCTGTGAAGAAAGTGCCAGTCCCCGAGACCCGGGCCAGAGGCGGGGGCCTGGTGTACACTCAGGTAGGGACAAGGGTCAGACACGGGTTGAGCAGTTTCTCTGGGAACACGACAGCATCCTACAGAAAGATCTTGCAACTTGATTATTTTTTAGGGGGGGCAGCAGGTACTGGGGACTGAACACAGACACACGACACCCCGGCCCCACACCACACCCATTTTGCATTTTATTTAGAGACAGGGTCTCCCTGAGTTACTTAGGGCCTTCCTTTAGCTGAGGCTGGCTTTGAACGCAGGATCCTCCTGCCTCAGCCTCCCAAGCCGCCGGGATGACAGGTCACCACGCCTGGCCACCCTTGCTCTTTCCGATGGCCTGGGGATGTAGCACAGTTTATGTGACCTTCCCAGGTGGACGATATTTCTGACAATTTGATGTTGCAAACAGATGTCACCCCCACTTAGGAGGGCTCAACTTGATGATTTCCAGCTTTACTGTGGTGGGAAGGGTGGGAGCCTGGCCTCCTCCTGGGTGGGCGGGCATTTCGATGCGCGTTTGCAGCATAGCGTGGGTTGATCAGGACAAAACCCTGTCACGAGCCAGGCCCATCGGTACGTGCAGACTTCTGCACACCTGCGGGTCTCCGTGGCTGCAGAATGGCCATCACCTGTTGAAGTGTGGAGCTGGCGGTCTCTGCAGGACCCTGCTGGCCGTGCCACAGCAGGGCTGCACCTGTCTGCACGTTCAGCAGCTCCTGCTCCAGGGCCCACTGCCCTCATCTTGACCCAGCGTGTCAGCCTTCTGAGTTTCACCCCCCACTAGTGCCCTCACCTCTCAGCGTGGCTTGGTGAGCTTCCTCCTGAGTGAAGAGGCATTTGTCCAGTGGGGGAGGTCATCTGCACTTCCTTCCGTAGCCTGCCTGTTTATGTTCCACTGCTTTTCTTCGGGGCTGTGGCCCTCTTATTGATTTCTGAGAGCTCTTTATTAAGGAATGAACCCTTTGCCCTTGTGTGTTTTGATTCCTCCCTGGAAGCAGCCCTAGACTGCATACTGGGCAGATCTGGGATAAACTCTAGCCTGGGTGGCTCTGGGCCCCTCCCTGGAGTTCTCTGAGCCTCCATTTCCTCATCTCTGGGCGGGGCAGCTGCCTACCTCGAGGGCTCCCTGGAGATTTATTATGGTATAATGCAGGGCCAAGCCTCTGACCGTTCGGTCCTGGTATGGAGGAAGCAGGAGGAAGTCAGGGGGAAGCTACTTGGGGTCATCCTCCTGACCTCATTTAATATGGGTAATAAATGCACTAGGCTGTGTCCTAGGTGCCCTGGCTCTAGGCTTTCAGGAAGCCACTGGATGTGGACCTGCCTACCACCCCAGGTTATTTAAGTTATTAAAGATGAAATACAAGGATGATTCAGTTCTTGCACCCTTCTGGCCACATCCAAGCACTTAGAAGTCACATGTGGCTCACCAGGTGGGACCCACAGACACAGACATCTCCCTCCCTGTGGAACACTTGGGTGGACGGCAGGGTCTGGAAGGGGCAGGCATCCGGTCATCTGGGGAGCAGAAAGCTGGGCAGGTAGGGACAGAGGCGGGAGGACTTGGGCTGACAAAGGGCTCCCTCCAGGCCAGGACTGGGGGCCGGCCAGAGCTGGGGTGAAGGTGCCTAGCCAGGGGAGGAGCTTGTCCCGTGGACACTGAGGGACCTCAGCGGGACAGGGGTTGGGGGCCCAGCTGAGATGGAGAGGTGGGCAAGGCCTGAGCAGGAGACCTGGCTGAGGTCACTGAAGGACTGTCACCCTCTGTGTCTTAGAGACACACCTCCCCATTGGCTCCCTGTGAGTGTGGACTGAGGGCCGAGGTGGAGGCCAGGAGGCCGCCATGGTCCAGAACCCACCAGGCTGTGGCTCGATTCTTCCTCACCCCCAGTCCTGGGCCACTGCGTCTGGAGAGCCCGTTCTACACATGTCCCCCGACTGAATGCACGCAGCTCCCACTCTACTTCCTCTTGCAGGTTTTGCGGGTTCATCTGCGTGGCCATGTCATTGAGCCTAGCCTCTTTCCTGAGTGCATAGTACTCCCTGTGTGTAGCCCACATTTTCCTTATCCATTCCTGGGCCAACTGCCTTTTCCGGTTGCGTCCACTTTGGGCTGTTAAGAATGGTGCTGCTGTGACATCTGCATGTGCGTCTTTGAGTGGACATGTGTGTTTGTTTGGGTGTGTACCTAGGAGTGGGCCAGACAGCCACTCCAGGCTTCACTTTTGAGAACTCGCCACCCTGTCCCCAAAGCAGCCACGCCATTTTATGTTCCCCGTAGCAGCGTCTTCACGTCCTCTCCACCTGTTTTTGGTGACCCATCTTAGTGGGTGGGGTGTAAAGTGGGATTTCATTGGTGTTTCAACTAGGATTTCCCTCAGGATTCATGGAATTGAGCATCCTTTCGGGTGCCCCTTGGCCATTTGTGTGCATTTGTATGCATCTGCCTATTCAGATGCTTTCCTTAATTTAAAATTGGGGTGTTTATTATTGAATTGCCATTGCTCTTTATATATTCTGGATACAAGTCAGTATGTGTGGAAATTTCCTCTCATTTTGTGGGTTGCTTCTCCACTCTTAATGGTGTCCTTGGAGGCACATTTTTCATTTGGATGGAGTCTATTTTATCTGTCTTTTGTGGCTTATGCTTTCAGTGACATACCTAAGAAGCCATTGTCAAATCCAAGGTCATGAAGAGCTCTCCTAAGGGTTTTCTTCTAAGGGTTTGCTAGTTTTTGCCCCTACATTTAGGTCTTTAGCTGAGCTGACTCTGGTACAGGATGTGAGGCTTGCAGGTGTCCTGCAGGAGGGCCTCTGTTTAGTTGGGGGTGCAGGGGTGTGATGTGGAGGCAGCCCAAGGGTCTGGGCCTGCCTGGCTGGGATGAGGACTGAGTTTGGAGAGGAGGAAGGGAGAGGCCTGTCCTGGGCTCATGGTGCAGGTCAGAGGCCTGAGCTGCTGGGTGGCCAGGTGAGCAGCAGTCGGGTCTGTCTGCTGGAGCCCAGCCTGAGAGCTCTGGGGGTGGCCTCACGGGCATGAAGGGAGATGGCAGAGAGGGTGGCTTAGGAGGCTGTGTGGCTGGCTCAGGGTAGGCAGGGAGGTGGAGAGGGGGGTGTCCCATAGGCTGTGAGGAAGGGCCATCCTGCCTCTCCTCCTGCCGCTGTGTGTTCTTAAGCAGGCCCCTCCCCTCTCTGGGCCTCCCTTGCTTGTGTACACAGGGGTGAGGCTTGTAAAATACAGATTGTGGAGTCCTGTGTTTAGGAGCCGGACCGCGTCCCTCTGTGTAACCAAGTGGAAAATACGGCCCAGTGCAGAGGAGAGGAGCCAGGGCAACGTCCCACTCTGGCAAGGCCTCTGCATCTGGGCCTGAGTGTGGACGCACCAAGCATCCCGCAGGCGGTATGAGGCTGGCTGACCTTCAGGGCCTCCTACAGGCCCGATGGCTGGGCTCAGGCCTCGTGCACGCCTGCCACCTGGCGGCTGTACTGCGTCCTGCATGTGGCTTCTTGTTTTTCTCATGGACCCTAGAAGCTGGCTACTGTTATTATCTGCTTCCTGGACAGCTGAGGCTCAGAGAGGGTAAGGCAGTCACCCAAGGTCACACAGGGGGCTAAGGCGGACCAGTTGGACTTAGGCTGGCTGCTGCCACAACTTACCTCCAACCATTAGGGTTGGGGGATCTCTGGTGGTTCAACACTCTTCCTTGCCCCAATGGACCCTCCTGGCATGACAGTTTTCCTGTAAATGGCACAGCCCCCCTGTAACCTCCTTCCCTTGCGTTCTTTGTCTCAGGTGCCATCGCGGGGCCTGGAGCCGGGGGATGCCCTTCAGGATAATGAGCAGCCACTTCGGCAGGGATCCCCTGTGGCCTCGGGACCTCAGAGAAGTCACAGCTTTTGCAAGGACAAGAGGAATGGGCCTTTCGTGGTGAGTGACCGCAGCATGGCTGGAGAGGAGCCCAGGGGGCCCGGGATCGGCCTCCGCCGGGAACCTGCCCCGGAGGCTCGGGCTGCCCCCGGGCTGCTGTCTGGGAACCGAGGTTGTCGCCGGCTCCGAGGGAGGTGTCTGCGGGCTCTGTGGGGAGGGCCTGGGCCGCCCCGGTTTCGGCGCCCTGTGCAGAGGGAGCCCAGCTTGGTGCGCCCTGGGTGGGGGTTCTGGGGCCAAAAGTCCCGAGTTCGAACCCCCGCGCTGGCTTCTGCCTCCGATTTTGAGAACTTGAACTGGTTTCTGTGCACGTCGGTGTCTTCAGCGGGAAGACGGGGACCTGCTGCTTTACCCCCCGGGGGGGGGGATGGCGTCGGGGCACGTCCGGGCCCAGCGCCCAGGGGCGCCCTCAGTAGTGACAGTCGGGCTTACAGCAGGGCGCGCGGGGCGGGGGGTGGGGTGGAGGACAGGCCCGGCTGCGCCTGCGCGCGGAGGCTGGACGGCCCCGCTTTCCCCCCTGGGAGCCGGGGCCTGGGCTCCACGGGGCAGTGGGGCGGGAGGACGCAGTGCGGGAGGGACGGGCCGTGCAGGTGTGAGCCTCCGCGGGCTTGCGCTGCCCTGTCCCTGGGGCGGTTGTCCCCTCGCTCGCTGGTGGACAGAACTGGGCAGAGGGAGCTGTCCCCGGGGAAGTCGCCTCCTCCGGGAGTCTCCGCGGCCCGGGCCAGGGCAGGCGCCACCTCCGGGATTCCCGATGGTCTTTTCAGTGCCGTGACACCTGGGGACCTGTCGCATTCTTGCTTGCCCTTGGCCTCGGCGGGGTCACGGGCTCCGCGAGGAGGCGACCCAGCAGCAGGTGCTTAGGGACTCCTTCGTGAGATCCAGGCTGGGCCCGTGGCCGGGGACGCAGTCGCACCTGAACCCCAGGCCCACGTCTCCCGGCCCCAGGCCACGGCGGGAGCCGCTCTTCCCTGAGCCTCCACACGCTCCTCTGCGAAGTGGGGCAAGGAGGCCATGGCGGGGCTCCTGCTAGGGCCTGGTGTAGTGGCCGCCACCAAGTGGAGGGCTGTCATTGCAGGGCTGAGGGGGCCGGGGAGGCCCTGGACTCCTGGAGGCGGCTGCTGAGCAGCCCCAGAAGCTTTGGCGAGCGTCCTGATCCCAGACGCGCGCACTGCACACAGCCTGGTTTGGTGCTGGACATTCTCTTCCACGTTCCTTTCTGACCCTGGTGGCCAGCCCCTCTCAGGGGTCCTGCCTGGGCTTCTGTGACTGCACTTGAACTGTGGTGTGTAGGCCAAGCCGAAGGTGATGGGGAGAAAAGCATTTTAAACCTGTCTTTTTATAGTTCTCCTCCTGCTAAAGTCATCCCTGGCCACCGGCTCCTTCTCTTTCACCTTGTCCCAGACCAGGGACCAGCCTTTGTTCTTGGCATCCTCGGCTGGCCGCAGCTTGCCTTGGCTCCCTCCTTCTGGGCTCTGAGGCCCTTGCTGGGTCACCCTGCCTGAATCGCTGTCCTCTGGAGGTGGATGGGTGGGACTCAGCCCTCTTGGTAGCCCCTGACCTCAGATCCCTTAGGTACTCTCAGGACTTGTGCCTGCAATCACAGGGAGAGACCACCAGAGGACAGTGGTCCCACCTGGGAGGGACAGTCTGGGGCCATGCAGGCTGAGAGAAGGGGGTTCCCATTCCAGCCCTGCCACTGTGTGACCCAGGGGACATGGCTGGATGAGGCTCCCCGAGGCTGGCTTTCCTTCTCTGAGATGAAGACAGCTCTCTCTGGCCTCAGGAGTATTCTTGTGCATCATGGCAGAGGCTACCCAGCACATAGTAAGTTCTCAGTTAACGCTTCATCTGCAGGGGCTGTGTGCCCTGCTTCCTCCCTCCCCAACTTCCTCTCCAGAAAGAGCTCCCATGTTGGCCAGGGGGATCCTCCAGGTGAGGCCTGGGCCCTCACCCCTGCTGGCTGCCCCGCTCCTCTGTGGTTGGTGCGCCTTTCCTCAACCAGGGGGGACCCTGATGGTGCTGTCCACTGTGCCACCATTGCTGACCAGCGGCCATGCTGCTGCTTTCCAGCTTGGGTTCGGTTCATTGCCTTCATTTTCTGAGCCTGCAGGTCAGTCCTTGTCACTTCCACTCCATGCTCACTTGAAGAGCATAAATCCCATCCTGAGAGGAGGAACGTGAGGCCCAGAGTGGTTAGGCCGCTTGATCACAGCCACACAGCAGTCAGGGGAGCAGGAATGGAAAAGGGGCCTGTGAGGCTCCCAGCTTGGACCTGGGAGCTTCCTGCCTTGGGACTGGCTTGGCCCCCTGCCAGCCCTTGCCTCCCCACCCCCCCCTTGGCCTGCAGGGCTTGTGCCTCAGCTGCTCCAGGAAAGCAGACACCTGCACCCTGGGCCTCCTCAGGCTGGGAATGTGATATTCCTTGAGCTGGGGTTGGCCCCGCTGTTCTGCTGCCGCCTTCCAAAGGCTGCTGGGGACCTGCCAGGCTGGTGGCTGAGGATCTGTACAGGCCCACCCGTCCTGGCCAGCCACAGGCTGGGCAGGGCCTGAGCGGAGGCCCGGCTGGCCTGGCCCTGCCCCTGCCGGAGCAGGGAGTTTCCCACAGGGGACACAACCAGGAATAGCAGGGTGGCCCCACGAGACAGTCCCTGCCCGCTTCACAGGGGACGCTGTGGCCCAGAGCCAGTAGGGCCCTCTGGAGCCCTGGGTCTGGAGCCGCTCTGGGCCCTGTTTGGTGCAGGTGGAGGCTGGAGCCGGGGGCCGCAGGGCAGGAAGCTCGGCACCGCCTCTGCTCTGTCAGAGGAGGCTGGCCTCAGTGAGCAGTGCTTGGGCCAAGGTTAGAGGCAGGAAGGAGAGTCCTGGACCGTGGGCGAGGCCCCGGGACCTTCTTTGACTCTGACTGGATGCATAGTAGCTGGGAAATGGGGGACCAGATTTGGATTCTGAGGATAATAGTAGTTCTTGTGTCACCAACTTAAGAAGAACTTGTCTCCCGAGGGGACACATCCTTAGTCCCAGTGGGAGAGACTTAAATTTCAGTTGGTTGACAGGGCATCCGCATGGGAATGAAAAGATCAAAGTGAAAGGTTTCAGGAGAACTTCCAAACAGCTCATCAAAGATACTGATTGAATAAAGAGCAGGTATTTTTATGTTTGCCTGGAATGTAGACCCTCAGGCACCGCTCCCCCACCTTAATGTGGCTCATTGGATGAATTTGCTTTCTTGCCTCACCCAGCAGGATGTCCAGAGTGGGCATCTGCTAGCTCCTCTCCGCATTGCTGAGTGTCTCTTGGGCTTCCTTCATGCCCCCTGCCTCATGGTGCCAAGATGGCTGCCACTCTTCCAGGAACCAGTTCCACTCTTAGGCAGGAGAAGTGGGGGACCCCACTGAGTCTGCACGTTAGCCAGGGAAGCAGAGAAGATGGTTTCGCTTATATATCATGGGTAACCGGGTTACATGGCCCCACCTCACAGCAAGAAAGACTGGCAAAGTCAGGGTTCAAGTCTTCCAGCTTTTGGCATGAAGTTGGTCAAGGTGGAATGGCCACCGGTCATTTCACAAGTAGCATTGTTCATCACACAATGAAAGAGAATTGGGACCATCGATTCTTAACAAGGAGGGACCAGGTCAGGGTATGGGCCAAGAGAGAAAATTTGCCCGGCGTTGGCATGCTGGGGGGTGGGAGTGAGCTGAGCACCGGGCGGCAGGTGGGCAGGCTCAGTCCCTCAAGGCCCCCAGCTGCGGGGGGTGGGGGGAGCAGAGGTCCGAGAAGGCAGGGACCGAGGTGGAGGAGACAGGCAGGGTGGGCCAGCAGGGAGCCCCGAGGGGCACCTGCCCATGAGAGAGGGCTGTGGGACTCATGGCAGCAGAGACTGGGCTGCTCTGGGCTCTGCGGAGGCTCGGAAATCCTGACGTGGGTTCCACTTGTTAATCGCTTCTCACCTCCTCTCTGCTGGCCTGGGAGGGCTTGGACGCTGAGCAAGTTCTAGCTCAGCTGGTTAAAGTTCATTTTTTTGGATTAAAACCAGCCAGACCAGAAAGTTTTCATTTCCTGAGTAGTGAATGTGAGGCCCAGGGGTGCCAGATAGGGTGTGCTGTGTGTCTGTCAGGTACCTGGTTACCTCTCCACCCACCCACCTGTGTGTGCCCCACCTGTCCACCTACCCACCTCCTACTCACCCACCCATGTGTTCATACACAGGCCCACCTCTGTCCTTCCCCCAGGTATTAATTCATGCAAAGCTCTAAGGAGAAGAGCAAGGAATCCATTAATCAAGGCTCTCAAAATGTGTCACTCCCAGACTATAACCAGGCAGGTACGTGACCCAGGAGGACAGGTGCTGGTGATTCATGTACTCACGCTCACATGCATCTGGAGGCATCAATGGGCACCTGAGCGTCAGGAGCTGCAGCAGTGACCCTTGGGGTTCAGCAATAGGAAAGGCATGGCCGCCCCCATGTTGCTCAGGCCTGGTGTGGGGTGCCAGGCACTCAAAGGTAGCCAGGGAGGGACCAAGACTCTAGGAGGGCTGTGAAGAAAATATGATGCGTTCCCGGGGTCAGGAGTGACCGCAGGGCTCTTTCCTACCAGGTGGTCAGGGGGATTTCTCTGAGGAAGTGAGACCAGAAGGAGAAAAACCCAGGCAGGTAGAGGCAGAGGGGGCAGAGCAGGGACAAAGGCCCTGGGACTTGTTGGGTGACCATGGTGGTGATGTCACTGGAGCTGGAGTGCAGAGGGTGACCGTGCACTCAGAGTCCGCGGCTTGGTGGGACCCAGGAGGCCCTGAGAAGCCAGGAGATATGGTGAGCTGGTTCCAAACCACCAAAGGCACGGCTTGCAGCGCCCTCTGCTGGACACTGCGGACCGGGGGTTGGAGTAGGTGACCGGGAGCCCCGAGGCCAGTTAGCGAACCGCAGCAATCCAGCCCAAACCTGTAGGATTTTATTGCCGCGGTTAAATAGAAATAGCAAAACCCGACCATTTTCACCATTTGGAGCATG